GGAGAGAGAGAGAGAGAGATATCGACAGCTGTTTGCCATCTTTTCCTTCGTCGTCATACGGTGGTCACTTTTGTTACTTCATCCCGACACAGCGGTGGTGTCCTGCGCTGACTCCCGATTTGGCCCTATACGGGGCTGGCTGCAAGAAATCTCAGGCGTATAGTTTCATCGGGTTGCTGTACTCTAACTCGCTCCCATCGATGGGTCACATCTCGCTGGTCGAGAGAACGTCACTCGTTTCCTCCATCACAACGTGCTAATATCAAACCGCCCACCACCCCCAACTCGCTTCAAAGCCTTGGAATCAGCCCCCAAAGTTCATCTTCAGCGCAATGGTAGGCTGGCCCCCGCTGCTGTCGCCGCCCGCGCCACCACTGCCCGCAGCGCCTCTGGCCTCGTTCGACGCGCGGCCGCCCGCCCGGATGACCTCCTCGAGGAACGCCCGCTGCGCCTCGCTCATGCCACCCACGATAGCCCTGAACGTCGTCTGGTCGGCGTGCGCCAGCTCCAGCAGCCGCGCGCCCGTGTCCTGGTACGCATCGTCGCCCTCAGCCGAGGCCCGTGCCAGCAATGTCGGCAGCACGAGTGCCATCGCTGCCGTTGTGCGCTCGCGTTTGCCGACCGCGGCGATGGACGCGACGTACTGCGTCAGGGTTTGCGCCACGAGGGCGCGCGCCCGCTCTGGGTCTTCCGGGTCCGTGTTTGTCACAAAGGCAACCAGGCGAGGCAGCAGGTATCGCGCAAGGCTCTGGTCAGCGGGCGTGGGGTTCGGCTGAAGGAACAGGGAGCGGATGCAGTTTGCAGCAATCTTGGCAGTCTACGAGAGTGGCGCGTTAGCTTGGCCCTGGCCTAGAGCTTCTACTTGGAGGGGCGTTGTGCCACTTGGCAGGGAAAAGGCAGAAAAGAGGTGCATGGCACAAGACTTACCATGCGATCCGTCAGGCAATCAACCAGCTCATCAAGATACCGGGCCACGAGCGGCTCGTTCGCCCCAAGGTGATTCGTTCCACCTGTGAAGAGGATTGTGATGGCGAGCAAGCAATTCTTGACGCAGGCGAGCGATGTCGACGCCTCACGTTTCTGTGCGTTGAGGTAGATCGATAGGAATCGACGCAGACACCCTTGGAGTTGCACATCCGTTGCGGACGCCTCGCCCTCGTCAACCGGCTTCCGCGAACCGGACACGCTAGTGATGAAGCGCTTGAGTGTGGGTAGCGACTGTGCGACAATGACCTCTTGGCAGGATGGTGCAGCGAGAGTCGTGGCGAAGATGTGGATGATACAGGCGTGGAGGTCCGTCTTGATGATGGAGGGGAACACTTCTGCAGCATCGACAAGCGCGTTGAGAGCCGATCTGATGAGCAGGATCGCCTCTTCCGTCATCTGGTGGCGGATCGGCTGGTTCTCTCCGGTGAGATTTGGCAGCAGACCGGAGAGCACGAGCACAATGATGCGCGTCAGCTCAAACAGCTGCTCGATGTCGTCAGACAGGTTGCCATCGTCGGCAGCATTCTTCTTGCGCGCAGAGGGATGGGAAACGCAAAGTGCCCGTGCAATCTCCACGATGACGCCCTGTACGTCGAGACCCTCTGTCAGAACGAGACGGTCCAGCAGGTCCATCGTCTCGGAAAAGATGGCGTCGCGGTAGATAGCATGGCCAGAGACACTTGGATGCAGAATCTTCTTCAGAGCCCGGAGGATGGCCAAGTTCTGCTCCTGTGTCGCCAGCGAGTCAGTCTGTCCAGGGCGAGTAGCTAGAGCCTCAAACGCGATGCCAAAGAGAACGAAGAAGAAGGCGACGGGCTCATCGCGATAATTAATGTCGGGTCCCTTGCCGCTGCCGTTGGTAGCAAGTCCGTCGACCTCCTTGCCGTCCAAAGCATCAAACACAAACTCGCTATCTTGCTCGATGAGGCTCGCAATGGCATCCACGAGCTTGAGCCACGACTCCTGGTAGAACTTGAGAAGCGTCTCCCGATTAAGGGCAGCATAGATAGTGTCAAGACTGCCAGAAAGTGAGGGGGGCCCAAGAGTCATGGAGATGTCGGGCTCGAAACGCAGCCTGGCGAATTCGCGAAGTGACTCGAGCCAAAGCGGAGTCAACGTGCCAATATGAGGCTTCAGGACCTCCAGAAGGTATTTCTGTTCCGAGCTGGCCACCTGGAGCTCTGCCCACGCTGAAAAGACGGACATCTTGACCATGACCTGAGCGTTGGAGCTGAGCCCCTTAAGCTCGCCAATACCAGCATTTTCGTTCTCCTTGGAGAAATTCTCTAGCCCAGTCACCAGCGTCTTCAGGATTCGGCCCATGCGGTCGACATCAGTGACGATGCCAGTCGAGATGAAGCCGGCGCAGACATTGACAGCCTCGGCCGCCAGTTCAGGCGACGAGTCAACAGCAAATGCTGGTGTAAGTGCAGAGCTGATTTGCGCCTGGTACTGCTCGAGCAGCATGGCCTCCTCGAAGTCCGGATCAGGCAAGCGACCAAACATCTTGAGAACATCGCCAATGATCTTAAGACCCCAAATACGCAGCTCCACCACACTCGATGTCGAAGCAGAGAAAGCCATCTTGACAACATCAGCGATCCTGCCCTGAAGGGCGGTCTGGGCGGCAGACTCTCCGTTCGTCGCGACATCCTTATTGATCAAGACGAACATATCGCCAATGCAGCTGATGGCGAAAGTCGTTACCTGCCAACGGAGCGGTTCGACCTCTGATGCTGCCTTGGTGTCAGGATCATCCTTGGCCGCTCCGAGGGCAGCTGCGAACCCAGCAACTTCTTCGTCCCTGAGGTCGGGCAGTCCGCCTGATTTTGTCTTGTTTGCGTCAGGGTCGGTCTTGGGCTTCGCCCGCGTCATCTTGAGCACGCCCTGAACGCGTTGCAGCCACGCCTCCGTCTTTGTCAACGAAGTCTGTCGAAGCCAGTTGCGGAGAATGTTGCGGATGCCGTCGTGTGTTGGGATCGTGTCAAGGACCAGCCACAGCTCATCCTCGAAACCCTTGTCCGCTGCCTTGATGACGTCTTCTGGATCCCTCTTCATCATATTGTACAGTCCGTCGACAGCAACGTCCCGCAGCGCGGCGAATTCAGAATTCAGATAGTGCTGAAGAAGCTTAACGTACTTCTCGAATTCCATATAGCCAGGGGCGTAAAGGGACAAGTGTTCCAGGCAGCTCAGGCTCGCTCTCTGCACCTCGAGATCATCATCGTTTTGAAACTGTCCCACCAAATCCAGGATGAGCCCTCTTGACTTGGTAGAGTCTTGCAGGTCCGGCCCAAGGACATTGATCAACGAGTCGACGCATCGTGCAAGTGCAGCAGTGGTCGATGTTTCCATCTCGAGATTCATGGTCACGGCTGATGAAGTTTCCGCATTGTGGGTGTCCGAGACGTACAGCTGCACCAGCATACCCAGCGTCCCCGGGACGTAGGTAGAGAAGCTGAGACCGGCCGCATCTGCTGTCAATGCCAAAGCCTCCAGAGCCCAGAAGTGAACCATCGGGTGAGGGTCGCTGCAGAGCGACATCAGGACGCCGAGAACAGTCTTCAAGTGGTAGCCAGCCGCCATACCGCCGACCTGCTTCTGGATCGAACCCATAGCCATAGCACATCCTGCTCGGGCGCTGGGTTCTCGGTTCGCCACAATCGTGTCAACGAGATACTTGACTTCATGATTGGTAAAGGCATTGCCGCAGGCATTGCAAAGCCTGGCAACAGCGGCGTAGCCGATACTTCGTACATACTGATCCCCATCTATGATGAAGTCGCGTAGCATCTCCTGGAGCAGTTTCTCTACAGCCAAGGTCGTGACATCACCAGAAGGTGCCTGTGTTTCCTTGGCGGCAACGCGGAGGGTTGAATGGATGGCGAGACACACATTGACGTTGATGGCTGCTTTCCGGCCGGGATCTCTCTGCAATGATCCAGCCGACATGAACGTCTTGATTTGCTCAAGAATGCTTTCTTGCACCTTGGCAGGAGTCAGAGGGAAAACGAAAGCAAATAGCTGGATGGCCATGTTGATAACTTCCGTCGCTGGCGGATCGGGGGCGCCGGAATCTGTGGTATTGTTTGCAATGTATAGAAGCGAGGCATCATGCTCAAGACTGCCACATATGGGAGATAGGAGAAGTCGGTCAATGGCCTCGTCCGGGGTGTTATCCTGATGAGCATAGCCTTCCTCGAGTGAGGACTCGTGTTGACCGGGCAGACGCCGAATATTGAAGCCCGAGATCAAGCCTGTGAGGCCGAACCCAGAGTTGTCGCCGGCGTCCCAGACAGTCTCAAAGTTTGCGGCTGCACTGGCGATAGAAGCGCTGATGGAGGAACTAGGCGCATAATTCTCGGGGTCGGCAAACAGGGAGATGGCAAGAGTGAGGAGGTTCGACTGAATCAGAGCCTCGCTGCCCCCGGCTGGGCTGAGGTTCACCAGCTTCGCATAACACTGCAGAACGCGGCGCTGCACCATCATGTCCAAGTCTTGCAGCTGAAGAGCCGGCGTCAGCCTCTGAGCCACATCATCCGTCATCTTCTTTGCCGGCAGAGATCGCAAGAATGCCGATGTGTTCTGAAGCATTGTCGCGATGCGTTTCGATACATCGACTGTGAGGAGGCGGCTATTGAACTGCAAAAAGGCCAGAATGGAGCCGAGAGCGCACTCGCGAACATGAGTCAGGAAGGAGGCTTCCAGGAAGCTTCGGTGGGAGGTGTTGTCCTTAGACAGGGGTTTCGGCAGTGCATTCTTCCAGAGAAGAAGTAGTTGCGAGAGATGGATTTTGACAAAGTTGGGTCCCAGAGACATCAGACCGCCGATCATGATCCACGCCACTTGGATTTGCGTGCTAGAAACCCGAAGCTCTGACTGTCCACTGGACTTCAGCAGATTGGTCGCCATGGTAAGGACTCGACTGTTTATATCGACAGATCCGTACAGTGGCCGCGAAGGGCTTGCGCTGAGCGTCGCAGCCAAGCCGTGTGCGTATCCTATACATCGACGAGGGGAGTTGCGCCCCGTTGTCAAGAGGGACAATTCGCGATTGATGCTGTTCATGCACACGGACAAACATGGCAGCAACTGTTGAGGGCAAGCAAGCACAAGCTCCTTCATGCATGCCGAGGCATGGACCTGGACAGAATAGCTGGGGTGTTGCAGGACGCCCAGGAGGCCGTCCCTGCAGGCTTCGGCGAAGCCGTTCGCTGCTGACCCGAGGCTCTTCACTAGCGACGCCACCACGCCCAGCGCAGTGATCAATGTGTGCTTTGAAGGTTCGGGCCGTTCGGGGAGCGCTTGAGGATAGTTCTTGATGATGTCGTTGGTGATGGCCTTGGCTGCAGCCATCTGGCCTGACTCGCCGAGTATCTTTTTGCCAATGATGTCTTGCAGAATCGTGTTTGCGATGCGCCTCGAGACGAGGAGGCGGTACCTGTTATTCGTGATGCTGGGGTGGCCAAGAATATCAACAGACAGGCTATCGACAATCTTGAGGAAGTTTGTCTCGACCGTCTTCTCGCCTAGCTTCCTGAATAATTTGCCGAAGCACACTCCAATGGCAGCCCGCGCCCTGTTCGTCGTAGAGATTTTGGTATAGTGTCCGGTCAGAATTTTCAGAATGTCCGCCAGCGACAGCGCCAAGGTCTGTCCTTTCCTTCCACCAGGCGCGGGGCTCTCCGATCGAGACGGAGGAAGGTCGTCTTCGTCTTGCAGGTTGCTTGGGATGGTACTCTGGCGCTTGAGAGCCTTGGACTTGGGCTTCTTCTTGGCCACAGCCTCTGCGGCCCCTGTCTCGTTGTATGCGCGCAGCATGGCTTCGGCGAGGGTATCGGCGGCCGCATGTCGGACCTGCGTCGAAGGCGAGTCGATGACCTTGAAGATGACGGTCTGCAGTTTGTCAAAGTCGGTTGAGATCTCAAAGTAGGGCGTGTACCGCACGAGCGCGCGGAGGCAGCGGCATGCTGACACGATGACCAAGGCGCCCTTGTCGCTGGTCGCAAAGCTCCTAGCCTGTTTCCAGATGTCCCTGGCAATGCTTTCGTCCATGCTGCCCTCGACCATCTTGACCACCTTCGCCAGAGATGCGAGGACGGCCGCCCTCAAGCCAGCGTGGTTCGAGGAAAGCTTGAGGAGCTTCAGCATGGCGCTGCAGGCAATGGAGTGCAGGCCGATCGCACTGTCTCCCGCAGACGCGAAAACATCACCGAGGCACACGACAGCCGCATGTTTGGCGCGCTGCGAGGATTCGGCCTTGCCCTTGCCTCCTTGTGTGATGCTGACGAGGTCGTTGATCGTCTCGAACAGCAGCTTGCGGTCTCCGTGGCCGAAAATATGCGCCAGACACTTTCCGAGATTGTTCCTTACGACGCGGGTCGGCTGAGGGGTGGTCAAGTTGATGACCTGGAAGACTTCTTTCTTGAGGTAGAACTGCTGGGCGGTGCAGTCATCGTTGGAGAGCGCGAGGACATGTTTGGTCAGGGCGGCAACCGAAGTCAGAAGGAATAGCTGTTGCTGGTCGGCGGGAAGGGATTGGAGTTTGGGGAGGTCGAGCTCTGGGTTGGCAGACACGGCAGCGGAAGCTACCGCGGGCGGTGCTGGCGCCGCGGGGTCGCCATTGGATCCGCCATGAGGCCCCGAGGGCTCTGTTGACGACATGGGTTGAGCAGAGGAGATGTTGTCGACGTGATCTTGTTGGCCTAAGAAGATGGATGTATATGGCCCTGGAGGGTTGGTTGGGTGAGGTGTAGGTTAGGCTCCCGTCGACTCGAAGCTTAGAGTGTAGGTCCCAGGCTAGGAGGTGTGGAGGGATGGAAATAGTGCAGTTAAAGGGGTTGTACATGGTACGGCATGTCATCACCCTTGAGCTGGAACCTGCCAATCACCACTTCCGGCCCTTGCCGGCCAGTCAAGCCAGTCTTCAACATGTCCCACCCGCCATGTTCCACTTTATTTTTTGGCCAGACCCTTGACTTTGGCTTGGGACTCGACCTCTAGGTCTTGAGCTTGTTGATCGTGATGAGAATGATCTCCGGCAGACCATGTGTGCACGATGCGTCCATTCTCCCTGACCCAGCATCATTCAGGGTTCCTGCGGAGCCTACCTCTCTGTCGCCAATGCCTCCGACAGGTTTCCACCACCCCGCCCCTGGCTTCAGGTCACAACAAATGGTCCAAGATCAAGCATCGCAAGGGTGCCGCTGATGTTCAAAAGACCGGCCTCCGCGCCGAATCGTCGCGCATGATCGCGCTCCTCTCACGATGTCCGTCCTTCTCCCACTCCTCGCCAGCTTGTGCCGTTGCTTACAGGCACCATCATAGTGCACGGCGAGACCAGCCCTCAAGTCGCCGCCGCCCTCGCAACTGCCAAGAAGGCCGGCGTTCCGAAGCACATCCTCGAGGGCGCCGTCGCGCGAGGCCAGGGCCGCTCTGCCTCCGGGGCCAGCCTCGAGCCCCTGACCATCGAAATCATCATGTCCCCGGGCGTGGCATTGATCGTGGACTGCGAGACCGATAGCAAGGGCAGGAGTCTGCAGGATCTCATGCTGATTGCCAAGCGGCACAAGGGCCGCACAGGCTCGTCTGCGACGTTCCTGTTCACAAGGTTGGGGCGCGTAGTCTTTGAACCTAGAGACCCAGCAGCACCGGCTGAGACGCCGGCGGTGACCGTCGACGATATCTTGGTTGAAGCCATCGAAGCGGGCGCCGAGGATATTGAGACTGATGATGATGGAAACATCGTCATCTGGACGCAGCCGAACATGACGACGGCTGTGGCGCAAGCACTGGGGCCCAGCTTCGGAGACCGCATTCTCAGTTCGGAGATCATCTGGGCAGCGAATGAAGATACCAAGGTGAAGGTCGACACAGAGCTCGACGCACAAGGCCTTGCCGACCTGCTGGCTGCCCTCCAGGAGCAACCAGAGGTGCAGGGCATCTACGCCAATGTTGCGCGGGGGTCCATTTCGGACGAAGATTGGCAGCGCATCGAGGAGAACCTTGATACGTGACATGGCAAACTCCTAGTCGTACACTTGTATTTGTACATGTATACCCAGTCTTGCACAATATGTAGAACAGTAGCCACTAAGGGCTCATGAGGAGCGACACCTGACGGCCCAGTCTCGCCAGACAAAAGCCCCCGTCCTTTCCGAACGCCAGAATCAATACACACATGTCCCACCACGGATTGCTTCGAGCCCAATGGGCCATGCCATGCCATTCCCACCACAGCCATAGCGGAGTATTCCAACCTCCTCTGTTTTCCAGCTCGAGATGATCGAGTAGGCGTAGCGCGATCTACGAGTCGTCCTGCTGTTGCCGCGACACACCCTCGCGCTCCTCCCTCTTCCGTCGCAGGTCTTCGAGGTACCGCTGTCGTTGCATCAAGCGCTTGTATTCTTCCTTGATCTCATCGCGCTCAAAGGGGATCTTGTGTGAGTTCTCGGCCTTCGGCCAGTAGCCGGCCACGGCGAAGCGTTCGTCGAGGTTGGTGCCAAAGTAGTACATGATGCCAATAGGGAACATCAGGTACATGCCGAACTGCTGTCGTCAGCCTTGGAGGTCCATCGATATCAAAGCAATTAATCAAGTTACCTTGAAAACTTCAAGGTTGAGACCGCCCATTGTGATGAGGTTGACTGGTCGTGGCTTCGATGCTAGGTATGGCTGTCGAAGGTGGGATGATGGCTGGCCGGAGCGGGTGGGAAGAAATGCATGATGCTGGTTATTGAAACCTCAAGCCAATCATGTTCTATGCGATGCGGCCCTTCAGACAGCCAATGGGCGGCCTTGAGTTCTGGTTGGCTCCACTCTCAAGCTACAGGACGTCGTCCAGCACAAGGCACTTCTCAGAGGCACCAGCAACTCATATTAGGTTCCTTTCCCTGAAACGTCCGCAGCACGACGCCATTCTCTCGCAGGTAAGGTTGAGCTCGTTCAAAGTCTCCCCAGGTCATTATCGAAGGACTGGGAGTGTGGTGAGCCCTTCTCGACTCATCATTCGCTTCTTTCACCTGACAAAGAAAGCAAGACGGCCACAGTGATCTTGCACTGGGCACATTCGTCGACTCTCATGCGGGCAAAGCCAGACACCAAGACAGACATAATCATCATGGCGCTTGAATTATATCTACTCATTGCGCACGAGAATTCACTCTGAATAGCTTCGCGATTTTTCGTAATCTTCAATCACAACGGATACGCATTAGAACCCGATGCCAATCGATTTGGACTATCTGTCATGTGTTCGGGACTTATATGAAGCATGCGACCCTTCGGAGAAAGTCCTCACGGCTATGCACCGCGGTAGCCGAGGCACCAGGGCCGGGCACCTCCGGTATCAAAGCCGACGCTGCCGCTAGATGACATGGAAGACATTCGCCGTGGCCCACGAAGATTTCCTCCTTCTTATCACCCCGCCACCCATCATCCAGCGACTCATCACATGACGCGAGTGCAACCAACAGCTCAAGATCCTTCAAACCCAGATTTGTCCAATCAAGACAACGCAGTCCGTGCGATGAGTTGTTCTCATCGGGTCTGATTGATCTGTCGACGCGCCAACCTTGCTGAACAGTAAACAGTTCTATAGCTTCAGAGACCATTGAAGTGCACTGGTGTTTGTCACACCAGACTCGTCTTGATCCTCTCAGCAAGTCTATAGTGATGCTCCCAGGGCGCAGTATAATGTAACCTCCGTCGGTGTCGCAAGCTCGATAGAATAGGGACAGCATGCCTGCCCCCGCCAACTCAACCACTTCTTGCGTCACCAAGAACGTAGCTGCACACTCCTTGGGCCGTGACCGGTCAGGATTCTCAAGCCGCCCCCGCGGTGCACCGTTACTTGGCACATTCCCGCTTGATCCGGACGAACTCGGTTCTGGATGACGCGCTGGTGTGTGCACATCTGGACCCCGGAGCAGTGTGGCAGTCTTTAGCGTCGAGGAAGTTTGTGTCAGATCGACAATCCTGTCCTGGATCTTAGCGTAAGCCCGTGGGTTGTTTCCAATCCTATTTATGTGGCCCGGGATCACATGGATCTGTCGTAATTTATTGGCGTGAGAAGTCAAGTCCACAGCTATCTCAGCAAACACGCAGATTCCTTCGTGATGGCAAGCTATAATTGCTGTATCGTCTCGGATTGCGGGAGAGCCCCCCGACCGAAAACCGGTGAAGAGGTCCAGAACCTGATTAAGCCCGGTGTTCCAGTCGTATGAGTCTTCATAGTTGAGTGAGCCCGAATAATTATATCCTGGAGTGCGGATATGACGCCGAAAATCATGAACGTTGGTGGCCTGGTATATGTTCCGAAGTCCCTCTACAGTCGGATGCAAGGGCAGCTCGGTATGAAATCTCAGTGAAGACACCATGGACACCGTTCTGGCTATCGTGACCGCCAATCTCGCTGAACAACCTCCGGATGACTCTGTGAGGCGAAGCTCTCTGCATGTACGACACTTACAATGGTATTGTAACATATCAAGATCTGTTTGTATCTGGCCGTAGGCAACCTTGAAAGTCGTAGCCGCAGCATCTTCCATGTGTTGACGGAGCTCAGAGCTGGAAAGCTCAGGGAAGGTTTGACTAACGGAATTGATGAACCCGTGCCCGTAACTGGCCTCCGTGAAGTCAACAAAGGCCCCACGATCACAGTCGCCGACATCACGCTCACCCACCGCTAGAGCCAGTGTAACCCGTGCAATACTTCCAAGAAGAGAGCCGAGTAATTTGGGAGCCTTCATGAGTTTAAGGAAGATGCCACCGAAAACTAGGCTCAGCGCCAAGTCCCAGGGAACGCGGCTGCGTAGTGTCAAAGACCTCTCGTCGTCCAGCGCGATGATGTCTCTGATGTTCCCGATTCCATACGATGTGCTTGATATGTCGATCATCGAAGCAGTTGTTGCACTGCCATACTGGACGTGAACCTTTGCCGTGATAGGATCGATCGGACATTCCCCAATTGACGGAGCGAACAAAACCTTGCCATTTTCGTCCTCGACGTACGTGGTCAGGTCGAAAAGCCAGTGTGAGATGGCAGCGACGAAAGAACAGCTGGAGCCCCCAACAACAGTGATACGGTTGTGTTTCTCAGTGGTGATGTCGAAGACACCACGAAGAGCTTTTGCAACGTCGGCAGGCTCAGAGCATCTTTGTCCTTCTTCCTCTCGGCTAGGAATGGGGAGGTCGAGATCCATCATGCGACGGTGAACTTCGGGGAACGGCGATGCTGACAGCACTCCACTGCAAACCTTGACGAGGCTGCTGAATTGTTCAAGCGATGGCTTGTATTCTTCTGGAAACTCATACACCTTCCACAGGGCAGAAAGAATCATCGCCGGCATGCTCTGACGATGTACTTCGGCCAAACAAGCGCACAATGCGATGAGTTTGAGGCCTGAAAGAGTCTCGGTCATGATGCGAAAGAGACTTCGATGGCCGAATCCAAAGTAGAGGAGTTTCGATGCAATGCTTTGATACTTGAGCCTCTTAATGGCATCATCAAGTCTCTGAAGCCCACGTTCGGGTATCTCAAAGCGCGTGACAAGTTGCAACCCAGCCGCGTAAGTGAAGGGCTGGACTCCAGCTCCCTGGATCCGTGCCAGGATGTCGATTGTGAATTTTGGAACCGTGGTGCCAAAGGCGACCCAGTCGACAGAGCCTTGCTGGACGAACCCAACCTCTTGGGAGGGACCGGAGGCCATGATTTAATTGTGGTTGAAGGATAGGCCGTCAGTGAGCATTCCCTTTATGGTGACCATTGACCAAGATCCTCAACTCACTTGTTATGAACTTGAAAACGAGGAACACGGCTTTGGCTGTTCGAGCAGTAATAAGAGGGAGATGCTCAAGATACGGAAAGCAGGCGGAGGACGAGACCAGATGGGGGCGACCCAGGACCGGACCTCCCGTCAGATTATAAGAGCACCATGCCAAACCCTTCGGCCAGCGCCATAAAGTGCTGGGTCTCTTGCCACTCGTCCGGAGCTCACGACTTACTCACAACCACATCTCAGAAGGAGGGGCGAACTGCTTTCTCATAGGCGACAGCTCGCAGCCTGCTTCATGCATGCCTTGGCCCAACCACCCAGTCCAATAGTTGATAGCCACATGCCGAGCTGTATGCAGTTCCTCGCCCGGGCTGTCTGCGGGGCTCATCGTAGCTTGAATCACGGCCGGGTTGGCGGTTGTGTAACACTCCATTATGGTGGTCTTAGATATGAAGACACAAACGACGAAGATGAGCGCCTCGGACGTCGGTTGTCACTTTTGCGAGGCGGACTCTTGATCAGCGGGCCGAGATGATGTTCTCGGCATTGTAGAGATTTCGGATGAAAGAAGTCTATCGCAAGGCAACCACGTTGGCCTGCCTGTCCTTGTGTCAGCAAACCTTGTTAAGAGCTGAGACGGCAGTATCTTAGCCAACGGGCTACTGTGCCGAAAAGAACGACAACTATCTGTAAAGCTCGTGAATCAATCCATAATCAGACGACGCGCCTAGCTCCCCACAACAGATACGTTGAGGCAGTCACAAGATCCAAATTGGGAGCGGACATGGAAGAAAAATCAACTGCCGCAGTAGCAGCCGCTTGTATCCAGAGATTATTTGGTAGAAATAGCTTTTCCTCCGCAACGCCTTGCTCCTTTCCAGCTTTTGGAACAAGAAAAGCCTGAACAGCATGTGCACCTCGCCCAGCCACAACACCAGGTGATACCCCCCGGCCCTTGAGCCATGAAAAACCAAGACCACAAAGCGCCCAAGCCTCGGACCGTCCCCGTTTCCCCGCCTCTAGGTAAAGATAAGGTATTCCCGAACCTTTTAATCCTTTTACAGGCCGTCTATTGATGGCAACCTCCCGTGGCCCAGGTAGTTGTACACATTATAAACACTCATAGGTGTTCGCATTATGGCTGTCGTTGTGCCGCCCGGCGCGCCGCCTGGGCGTCCTCCATCATCATCCGCTCCGTCAAACTCCGCGGCGTGCCTGAAAAAAGTGCCTGGCCGACGCTCGCCCGGTAGCTCGCCAGATCACCTTCATCTGTGCCGGTATCACCGTCAAGTCCACCAATGAAGCTGTTGACGTCTCGAAGAGAGGCAGCTTGAGCATAGACCTGAGGATCCTTGACGACCGGCATCGAGACCGGCCGACCCCGGTATGATCCTACTGAGCCTGACAATAGGTGCGCCGGCACCTGCGGCTCCGCTCGCTCCGCTCTTGGTGGAGGGATCCTGACCGCAGGTGATGTTGAATAAATGACCGCGGGCCGATTTTTCGGGGTTCCACTTTCTTCGTCCTCCTCTTCGACCTCCTCCTCTTCCTCTTCCTCTTCTGGCGGCGATGCTGGCTTGACCGATGCCTTTGAAGATGAGAGGCCTTCGAAATCAAATATGCCTTCCTCCTCATTCTCCACCTGCGGATTGAATGGCTTTTCCTGCTGTCGAGAAACTGTGGCATTCAGCGTTGATGTTACCGGCTGTGGCTTCGGAGAGATGGGGGGCGATGTCTTGGCACGGGTCGGAGACCTGGACGGTGGTGAGCGGATTGCCTTCTTATTGGCAAAGGATTTGGGTTTCGCCATGGCGAGGAAATCATCGTCCGATGAGTCGGAGTCGTCGCTGGCTCTCTCTTCCCTTTCTGGTGGCGGAGACTTGAGGAATTTCTTCGTACGCGGAACAGTGAGCTCGGCAGCATCCTTTGAGGGGTCCGGTATGCTTGCTTTTCTTGACGGCGAGTTGGCAAGCGAACTGCGGCTGGATGAGGGCGAGGCCAAGTTGCGGGGTGAGCTCTTCTCAGAAGATGGTTCTGGCGAGTCAGCGTTAATGACTGTCCAGATTGTGTTGGCGTCCAGAGGAGTCCGGGACAGCGCGCGCAATGCCTGTGACGATGAGACTTTTTTCGGGGGCGGTTCGTTATCTTCGTCAGGGCCCAGTATGGCCTCGGCACTCATTGAGTCATCCTCAGGAGACGATTCAGGCTCAGGTGGGGGCACGCTGGAGGAGTGCAGCGAATGCGACAGAACCAGAGACACTTCGGATGTGCGGGGTGAAGATGTGGGCAAGACCTCGCCTCCCTCAAACTCAAAGCGCACTCTTCGAGGGCTCGGAGGAGGTTTGGAACCGCCAGTCGAAGATCGTCTCAGTGCGCTGCGGCGCACCTTGTGCTCGCCAGACTCGGACGCGCCCGAAGACGTGGTGTCATTCGTTCCTTTCCGTTCATGGTGAGGTCGGGCTGGCATTAACGAAGTTTGCGAATCGAGCGGTCGTTGCGTCTCGAGCTTGCTCTCCTTCCTACTCGTAGGCCCCATGGCCGCGGCTTCGTCGGAAGTGGCTGAGGCTGTCGTGAGAGGTGTGGACGGCATCGATGGCTTGGGGGATGCCTCCGTACTTTTGCTGAGCAGAGGGAGGAAGTTCGGTGTGAAGACACCCTGGAGGTGGACGTCGCGCTCGTCAGACGGGCTTGCCAGGAGGGGATTCGGCGAGGCAGGCTTGTTTCTGGTCGTGCTATCGTGCTCTGTATGGTCGGGTAATGAAGGTGAAAGCTCTGTCGTATTGGCAACTATGTTGGATTTTGCGTCTAGGTCGGCAGTGGTGGCGGCGGCGGCAATAGGACCGACGGAAGGTAACGAAACGAGATCGGCAAGTTCCAGCTTGGAACCCAAGGCGGGATACTGCGACAATGAAGCAGCGAGACCGTGGCGGACTTGGGTGGAGAGTTCTTCAGGAATGTTTTCTAGCAGGTCGCGCGAGTACCTCGTGAATTCGGCAGCCATGTCTAGGCGATAGGCGGCGACTTTGTGATCGAGCTGAGCAAGCTTCTGCTGCAGGTCCCCGATGAGCGTCGTCGCATCGTCCATGTTGCCAAAAGGGTGAAGGGAAGTAGGAACTCGAGAGACGCTGAGGGCGAGGGCGTGGACGTAGACTGGCACGGCAGGGCTAGGAGGCGGTGGGAGGGGGGGTTGCCAATGAGCCTAGCGTGCTCATGACGCAACGGCGGGATCGGTCGCCGGTCGCGATGCAGGATGTTTGCGTGGGACGTGGGATAGGTGTGGCAGTCACAATCGTGGGTGCAGCCCAGATGCCCTGCAAGGTGATCCACGGGTCAGATCAGCAGGTGACAGGCCGAGGGTTGTGGTGCTGTGCTGCGCTGCGCCGGGTATGGGGGGCAATTGGATTCGAGCGTTTGCTTGGGTGGTAGCTTGAATGGGGGTCTTCTTTTTCTCGGTGTTTCGGTTGGTGGCTCGATCAGGTCGGAGCGAGGTGCATTGGATGGACGGGACAGGGACGTCAGGGTGTAAGTGGGTGTGTTCGGAAGAGCGTCGTGTGGGTGCAGTGACTGTAGTGACTTTGTGGGCGTGTATGACGGTTGCGGCAAAGATGGCGTTGATCCATCCGGATGCTTGTGTTGGTGGGTGGTGGATGGAGGTGCCGATGCAAAACCTGAAGCGGGCAAGTTGAGAGAGGTGAGCAAATGCAGATGGAAGGAAAATTGATTGCTCGCTGGGGTTTGCCCTGCCTGTCTGGGCCTGCCTTCCTCCCTGGGTACCTAGGTAGCTACGTTAGTGAGTCTTCGCGCCTACCTCTCTATCTTACCTAACTGGTAAGGTAGGTAGGTGCCTAACAGAGGAGTAAGTGCTAGGGCCTTTGGGCAGGCACGAATAGAACTCAGTGCATCCCCCTGGACGGCTCGCTCCCTTCTACGCATGTTGGGCCTGGTGTGAGGAAATGGGCGACGGCCGACCAGGGCGAGGCGGGGACCGCGAGCGGTGGAGCCCCTACAGCGGTCTTCCAGGGCCTAGAACAGCACTTGCCCCTCTATAACCCACCCCTGCGCAGCTCTCCTTGCTCCGTCACTGGCACCTCCGGTACCCACAGCCTGGGACTGCACTTGGCAGGCAGCCCGGCCATGCCTCGTCTGGCCCAGGGCCTGCCTCCACCACCACAGTGCCAAGCCGATACATACAGCCGATCACTGCCTGAACATGTATCTCTGCCCTTGCTCGGCCAGCCAGCGAGGGAGCCAGCGAGCCGGCGAGGGCTGGGTTCTCGGTGAGCCACGAGCCACAAATGGTGCCATGCCCTAAGTTGAACTAGCGTGCCCGTCGCTCTTGCACGAGCTTGTCTCAGTCAAAGCTCAGCCACAGCAACGTTTTGTGCAATGTACATTGCATAGGTAGGTACCTATGCACAACAGGTTGGTTGTTGGAAAACGGTATGTATTAATTAATGTCAATTCTCGTTTGAGGTGCATGCCAACTCGGCCGCGTGTTACGTGCAAGGACTACCTCGTGACCATCATAATGAATTATTCGTCTTGCCTGTTCGGATTTTGGCTAGGTACCTAGTTATTTTGTTAGGTCGCATCTATCCAAGTTATTTGTGATAATGTCTACCGTACAAACGCCCAGGTCACCTCCAGGGCTGCTTCCTACCGAGGTCGAGAGATCAGTGAAGGTAAGCATTCCGGCAGCCACAAATGCTCCCGGCTCCCGGCCTCATCGCTTCTTTACCAGCACAAGATCTGGTAACAGCGATCCTCTACCGTGGTTCCCCAGGTGCTGCCCGATATTGTCTTTTGGCGGCACGAGTTCGAGCCATCATGCTGCGTCGCCGTCACGACACCAGCCTAGGAGCCACGCAAAACGTGTATTCGCGTCCCAGATATCAGCCTGACAGGGAGGAAACTTCTAAAGATGTCTGCCGGACTGGCATGGCTTTCAAGCAGGGTAGCATAAGGCCGAACCGCACGGAACAAACTAGTCCCGCTCAGGTTCTACGTCTTGGCGAGGTCACCGGCGCAAGAGGCGTTTGGTCAAGTAAGCCGGCTCGTCTATGTGCACCATTTTTGGGCAAGGTAGCTACATCATCCAAGACTCTCGTTCTCGAAATTTTGATGCGCTCACTGTAAGTTTCTCAGACCTACTACTTCCTTGACAAGCTTCTTTTTAGGCGAATAAGAACTTCTTCCAACGCTCCCAGTTGCCCGCTGGCAGAGCTATTTGATCAAGGAACCATTGGTGCGGGAGCAAGGAAATACTGACAGTGGGCAGTTGTCTCTAGGATCGTCTTGGCCACACGCAATTGCAATGTTGAGCCCCGACATCGCGTCAAGATGCGATCCTTTCGTCGGGGTGCCAGGGGAGTGCCGCCGAAGCAGTTCACCCTAGCACTCCAGGGCCCGGGCCCTGGAGATGCCCGAATGCTGCGGGCAATATGCCTTGTCTGCATCTTCAGTCGTGCTCCGAAGAGCCTTCTGGGATTCCTGACTCTCTGCTCGGTTACCTGCCATACCTTGAGCGTTGTGTCGAGAGATCAAGGCCTCAAAGTCGAAGACGCCTATCCGTCCGAGGATTCGGTGCTGATGCAACGAGGCTTCCGCCGACAGCTTCGATGCCTCTCGGATGTCTGTCATCAGCGCTTCAACCCTCATCAAAACTTCTTTGGTTTCCCCTTGAAGAAAATTAGAGCGTTGAAGCGCCTCGAGAATATCGCCTTGAGGATTCTTCCAGGACGGCGAAGACGGAGGGTTGGGGGACGATTTCGAGGTTTTGTCTCTGAGAGACATGAGCAACTGGTATATGGTTCTAAGCCCATGCCATACTACCAGGACAATGAAAAAATACATAAACAACAAAAGATAAAATCATATTTACACTAGCTGTAACTAAAGCTATAACTTTTATTTTTGGATGCAGCCGGCAGCGACCGCGTGAATATCGACGTTGGGCGTCATCTCGGGATGTGCAACAAAAGTACGTCTGGGGCTTGAGGAAACAAAAAGAAGACCGAACAAACTTGACGCAAGAAGACAGATATAATGCTGCTCTGGACGCTGCAATAGCGGCAGCTGCGTCGGCGACGCTGCTTCCTCGTCTCTTTGAAAGGCTGACAGAGAAGTTGCCATGGATGGCAGAGGTCCAGTACAGTCAGTCTCGAATTGGAGGTACTCCCAACAGCGGAGACGGGCTGCACTTTCCCTTTGTATCAGCAGGAAACAAAATCATGCCGTACACAGCTTGCCAGGAAGGAGCAAATAGGTAGCTGGTGGTAGCCAACTCCTTGAACGATGCAGGAGTAACCCATGTGAATACGAGTCTGTCTCGCGCTTGCTCCTTTTGCACCTGAGCAGGTGTTGGGGAGCTGTGCGACCGCTTCTTGCCACAAGTCTCTGACTGTCCCTTGCTTGTACTTTCGCCAGATGGCAACTGCCTGGTCCCGAGGCACTTGGCAGCCACGATCTACAATGAGAAGCCACGCGGGGTCGAGATGACTCGAGATATCACCTAGAAGATGATATGTCTGGATAGTGACTGTGACTAGTTCGGTGCCGTAGACCTTGTAGTCGATGTTCCAATCCGCCAAACACACTTTGCAGCCTTTCGTTGTCCGAATTGCTGCTGGACCAGACGGAGGTTGGTGAGGACTTGGGAAGTTGATTGCCACTTCCTTGTTGATCCACCGTCTCGGTGGATATCGTTCGAAAACGAAAACATGTTCACACAATTGGTGGCGTGCCTTAGCCAGATCGTTTCGCACCAAATCATTCCAATCTTTCCCCTGGATCTGGTGGGTAGCCTGGAGGAGGAGCTGGTTGTTGATGAATCTGGCTTCTAACGTGACGCGCCAGCTCGGAGGCGAGAGGCTGAGGCCTGTGCTGAATTTGGACGGATATCTATCCTCCCAACAGAGGTCGCTTGCAGCGATACCGATTGGCGATCCAAGTCGGTGATTGTTCGCGAGGAGGCGGGCAATCTGGTAACTAAGAGCTCGATTACCCCGGGTCCAAGCGTACAGTGGTAAGAATCTTCCTGAGCAGCATTCGGCCCGAAGGAAGTCTTGGTCGATGTGCGCCCCGAAGGCTGTGGTGAACTTATGAAGTATGGTGCAGTAAGAGCAGAAGCTGTACGTCTGGCCTACGTCGCGTTCGATGCGTTCGAGCAGGTCTTGCTTTTGCTGCCTGCAAAGTTTCTGTGGGAGGGGAAATATGTTGAAAAGGGTTTTGCAGCAGAGAGAGAATGCTAGAACATCCTCAGGTGCAAGCATGCTACCCACGATGAGCACTAATTCAACTGGGAGTCCGATGGAGGTTGACATTGGGCGGCCAATTTCCTTTTGGAGGTCGTTCTCATTACGTGCGCCGGCTCCTCGGCGGAACTTGTCGCGAATGGAGCGAAGTATAGTTGCCATCTATGGATGTCTGCAAAGAAATCGGATGGTCTCAGTTTCGATAGCAGAAGGGGGTCACCAACCGCTTAGAAATGGCTATGCCTATGGCTTGAGGAGGCGTACGCGAATGTCTGGTACGGGAGCCAAGAACCAACAGAAGTGACTGGGCTTCTTCGTAAAAAGTTTGCCAGAGGCTTTCAGGATTGAGTCCGACCCTAGCATGACAGCACGGCCAACTTCTTATATGTCAGTGCAGGCTATCGGAGACAGAGTCTTTGCTTGACTACCCTGACGGGTGCCGCCGCCGACGGAAGGGTTGGCGTCAAGGTTATGACTCCTAAGACCTTCAATGGTTCAGAGATATTCCTACAGTTGCGATCGGGAAAATATGGGATCCGTCAAATCATCCAAGGCCGACGCTGAGCACCGGAACAGGGGTTACACTTAAATTGCAAAATCACGATGGCACCGGGAGGGTACCGAAATGGCTCAGAGATGTTGTCTTCATCGGGGAAATCATCCCTGTGATTTGGATTCGAAGGAGGTTTGATCCAGGGTCATCGATGGGCTGAAAGGAAGCAGAGTCGCCCGCGAAACACGATTCCGCAAGAGCATCGAGTTGCAAGAAATGCGCTATCTGTCGCCGGACGGGGAGTTTCGCACGCCCGAGAATTGAGCTTCTTCTGGGAATGAGCTGAATTGAGTGAAGCAATGTCACTCGTATCAGAGATGGGATGCCGCAATGGCCCAACAATCTGGGTATGCTTGACAACCGCGTGCGAATCTCAAGGTGACCAGAGTGGCCAACAGGGGACAGTTAGCAAGCCCACCGTTAAAAGAATACGGCTGGCTGCAATGCATGCTGGCTTAACGGTGATATTTGTGCACGGCGGCAAGTTGGGGATGCTCAGCCACGAGCCTTTATTAGTGGAGCTCATTTTTTAAAAGCAGCGAGGCTTTGACAACCACGGAATCCAGATGGGGTCTAGTAAAACCTAACTCGGCGGTTTTTAGGAGTGCCATCCTTCCATCCAGCGTTCCGTCGTCCTTCGAAGGTAGGGCCAAATTATCCCACCCAACCCATCCCAGTGGCTACCCTGTCGCCTTTTGAACATGGTCCTTTTGCTTCAATCACATGTGGCGGCCGTTTCCGACACCCACTTTTGACAGTTCCTCGTGACTACGGTAGCGTCTGTTGAAAGCGTCCTCAAACCTTGCGCCTCCTTGCGCGTCCCAGTACAAACACCTTGACGGTGTCCCGGCAGTCCATCGATCTTTTGGCTCTGGCGCTTACGTCGTCCCTCCCCACGTCGCGACAAGATACGAGCTCGGCTGCTTGAACATCCAGCTGCTGGGGCATAGAGAGTCAAAGAGCTGGACTCTCCTGCTGATCAGCTCGCCACTGCCACGATATCACCTTGTCGCGAAGATCATGGATTCTCGGTCGTCAACCAATTGCCGTGGCACGCCTGGGGGTTGAACTCAAATTACCTCAACGGAGCCGTGCTTCCATGGGACGAACAGCCTTGGTCCTCTTGCGCCAATACATGCAGCGCACACCGCCACCCTTTGCAACCCACGGCCATCACAGGCGATGTTCGAAGGAGGGGCCGCATCGACCGGATTCGGTGGCTGGGTGGGGGTACGACCGGTAGTCGTTGTCTCCACCCGGAAGGGTCGATGGATGCCACCTCCGAGCTGCAGCGTGGGGGTTGGAGTTGATGCTGGACAACTTCTCTCGGCCGAATCGCGATCCGCCAGGCTATGAAGCGCCTTTTGTTGCGAAAGACCAGTATGGTACTCCTCCTGAATATGCTACTAAACACCAGTTGAGAATATGAATTCCTGATCTGATGGAGTCTTGGAAATATTGCGCCAAGAATAATACCAATTTGCGTCTGGATCAAACACTCCGAGTGATCACCACTGTCGCAACAAGGCAACGCATGTCACCCGGAGGACGTAGGATGGAATTTTGCCATTATTAGCAACCTGCGGCGAGTTGCTTTTTCAGACGATGAACAATTTGCTGGTTGTTCAGCTGCTTCCTGTCGTGCCGCTCACCCGGTATATAGTAAGACCTCTTCGTCCATGAGTCGCGCCCAAAACGCAGAGCCTGCAGCAATCTCCTCGCAGACGTGTTGAAGAATACCTACGGCCTCTGTTATTGAAGCGACCCATGATAGTATCCTGAAGACTGTTGTGAATCAATCGGCTGACGGTATCCTACGAACCACTGGGCCTTTGCCGACGCACTTCGCACCACAACTCACGACCTCTGCATCTATCCTAGAACTAGAGTTCCCGACGGTGCCTAGACAGCATAGTCATAGGTCATTGCAGGTCCTGTGATCAAGTACGTCTACCTCACTGAAATAACACGCATGATATGCGAGCCGTAAGGCAAACGAAGGAGTCCGGACCCAATTATTGCATTTTGCACGGATATTGTCCTTCATCCCGGCATCCCTTTTCTTCTTCGACCATGGTTGTATGTAAATCTTACTAACTTGACTTACTTCTCTGGCTTGGGGGTATGGCGCGACCTATGGCATCTTTCAACTTTACACTATGGAAACGCTACACCAACCCAAAGCTCAGGTCTCCTGGGTTGGTTCGCTTCAAGTGCTCCTCAGCTTCGTTTTGTGCACCATCTTTGGGCGTCTATCTAACGCCGCATATGGCCGTCACGCCGTCTTCGTTCGATCACTGCTCGCCGTCCTCGGCAGCTTCATGACGAGCCTCGCCAGCCGCTACTGGGAAATTTTCTTCGCGCAGAGCCTGTGCACCGGCTTGGGTCTCGGCTTGATGTTCACGCCTTCGGTGGCTGTCATAAGCTCCTACTTCAGGAGAAAGACGTCGCTGACCCGGACAGTAGATCAATAGCTATGCACGAACCGCAATCGGCTTCGACTCCAACACATCCATAGCTCTTCTCCTCACAACAAACGCTGCAAGGGTACCCGCGCGCCCACTAGTTGGATGGCTAGCGGAGACGCGGATCGGGCCGCTCAAGATGTTCGTCATCGGCCTGGTCTGCGTCGGCGGTATGCTTTATACCTGGATAGGTGTCCACAACCGAGTCAGCATGTACGCCTTCTCCGTTGTATACGGCCTTATTTTTGACGCTTCGCAGGGCGTTTTCGACGGATCACTGGCGATCCTAAAGAAAGATACAAGTAAGATGGGGACCCAATCCGGCATGGTGTGCATGCTGTTGGACTTTGCGACGTTAGCAGGGCCGCCTACCGCTGGTGCGATCATTGACCAGTCCAGGGGAGAGTATCTGTGGACTCAGATCTGGGGTAGAACAGTCATACTCTTGGCTGCAATCATGGCCATGGCGGCTAGGTGGTGGATGACTGGGTGCAAGCTGATCGTCAAAGCTTGGTGTTGCCTTCGTCGTACGTCGAAGGCTTAGGCCAGGCAATGCATGGAAGCATACTCTCTGCAGGATTCGTTCTGCGATAAAAATTAATAAGGTCGTTTTTCCCTTGTCAGCTTTGAAACACAACTAGCTGGTTTCGATAGTGGTGGTAACAGTGAGTGACTTTGGCATCGTGTTTTGATCTAGCCCCCGCCATGGCGGTCCGTCATGAACACTGTTGTGAGGGAAAGACAACAAGAAGACGGTGCCGAATACTATAATATCGAAACCGAATGCCATGAAAAATGTTCACGGCAGGATCCCCGCCGTATTTAGGGGTGTGAAGTCGTATTTTGTCCCAGGCAGCATTATGACCGTTTCGTTCCTGGTGATCAGGGGCTTGAGCAGGTATCGTAGAGCATGATAATCGTCATGAGATGAGTACACTGTCGACTCCCTAGAAATTAATCAGAGATTTTATTGCCTCTCCATAAACATGAATGATTCTGAAGGTAAGATAAGCCGAAGATGGAGTGATTGGCATGGCAGGTCTCCCAAGGCAAGGTGCCTGACTTGTGAGAGGGATGCAGAAGGTGAGGTCGCAAGTCGCCTTAGTAAGCGCGGACCTACCCCTGTTCGTGCGGCAAACGTCCCGATGCTTGGCGCTAGGTACCTGAGTATGGCGGGTGGGCAGCCTACACGATCGGTCGAAGTTGTTCAACAAGCCGAAACTGGAGCTTCGATCTGAAATTCCCTTCCCTTCAGTCCACAGACCTTGGCCTTTCCGTATTTTCGCCTTGTCAATATAGTCAGCTATCAACGTCACAGCTAGCGATCTTCAAGACAAGACCCTGAACACCACACGAGACCAAAGTGAACAGCAGAAGCCTACGAACCACCCGGTCAAGCCACCATCATGTCAACAATAACCCCCGAAGCACTGGAATCGGGCCAGCCGCCCGTCATTCCCCTCTCCTTCAACGCGAACCAACCAAGCACGATCCGACTCTACCCCCTCAGCAACTACACCTTTGGCGTCAAGGAAACGCAGCCAGAGGAGGACCCGTCGGTCCTCGCCCGCCTCAAGCGCCTCGAGGAGCATTACACCCAATATGGCATGCGCCGCACCTGCGAGGGCATCCTCGTTTGCCACGAACACAACCACCCCCACATCCTCATGTTGCAGATTGCGAACGCCTTCTTCAAGCTCCCAGGCGACTATCTGCGCCCCGAAGACGACGAGAGCGAAGGCTTCAAGGCGCGCCTGGACGAGCGCCTCGCCCCTGTCGGCCGCATCGGCGAAGGCGAGGAAAAAGGCGACTGGCAGCTCGGCGACTGTCTCGCACAATGGTGGCGACCGAACTTCGAGACGTTCATGTACCCCTTCATCCCGGCACACGTCACGAGGCCGAAAGAGTGCAAGAAGCTCTACTTTATCCAGCTCCCCAAGAGCAGTATGTTCCCTCTCCCGTGTGACCCTTGAGCTTGACACCATGCATCTGGCTCGGTTTGCTGACTGTTTCTCTCCCTCTATAGAGGTCCTCAGCGTCCCCAAGAATATGAAGCTTCTTGCCGTTCCTCTCTTCGAACTTTACGATAATACGGCACGATATGGCCCGCAGCTGTCCGCGATCCCCCACCTCCTCAGCAGATACAACTTTGAGTTCGTCGACGAAGACGGCAAGGTCGTCGCCATGACTCCCGGCACCGGCCCCCCGGATGGCTACGTCCCGACGACTAAGGTGCTGGCGGGCGACGACACGGAGATGGCAGAAGAGGTGAAGGAGGAGAACGGCACAAGCTAGGTGGACAGGCTAAATAGGCAGAACGGAAACAGTTGAGGCGACTGGAATCAGGCGTTTGGCGTGGAATATATCTGAGTGCACAAAAGCATAGCAGGACGTGCAATACCCCTGGTCTACCTGGGGAATACAATTTTTCATCCCCCATTCATGGCGCCCTTCGCACTACGCGTTACCTTACATCGTCCATTGCTTTACGCCTTCTGGCCTTGGATTGTCGCCATGAGCCTCCGCTGGTGCTTCGAGGCGCGGAACTCGAGATACCAGATGCCCTGCCATGTGCCGGTTGCCTACGACGAGAGTCAGTCTACAAGTAGTCAAAACTTCTGTACACGTCACTCACAAGCTTGCCGTCCTTGATGGGGATCGTCACGCTCGCACCGATCAGCGCACTCTTGATGTGAGCCTGCGACAGTCAGCAAAGTCCTTCAATAAGACCTCTCGAACTGGAGACTCACCGGCATGTCATCCGGACCCTCATCGTCGTGACGATACAGCGCCTCGCCCTTGGGCCCCGCCTCGGGCGCGATGCGGTCCAGCGCATCGCTCATGTCGGCCCGGACGTCGCTGTCCCAGTTCTCATTGAGGCTGAGGGCGCAGCTCGTGTGCTGCACGAACAGGTGCAGGATGCCGATCTTGAAGTCTTTGATCTCGGGCACCGCCTTGAGGACGTCGTCCGTGATGAGATAGGACCCGCGCGACTTGGCGGGGAGGGAGAACTGCTTCTGCGCCCAAGCGGTGGCCATGGTGGGCGTGGATGGCGGGGTATGACGTGCTGAGCTGGGAATACGCGAGTCTGGCGACAGGAGGCCGAGGAACGTGAACGGGAAAGTCCAGAGGTAGTGAAACCAGCCAGGGACAAGACAGATAAGAAACAGCACGAACAGAAGAAATGTTGTTTTCGAGATCTGGTGGTTGTCCATTGAAGAGGGCATATTTGGTGTTGAGCTAGAATGATGTAAGAATTGAAAGGTGGGGCATCTTGAATATCAGGACAACGTCCCATGCATTGCGTTGCACGGTCATCGGATTTCGACGGGCCAGACTACTCAAGAACTTAATGGTAGTCCGCTCTCATAAGATGGAAACAATAGATTCGGAATGCAAACTATCATGTTCTGGCGCACTGGTGGAAACGCTTGAACCATAGCACATAACCTATAGCACGGCCATCTTGAAGGTCCCCAATCCAGCAGCGACGCGACTTGGTCGACTGAGGTTCTCAGGGTACCTGTAAACTAGCTCATGACGCTCCGATAGATGTTCAGATCAGATGTAGACGACCCCTCCATGTGATGCAAGCGTGGTGCGAAAGCCTCACAGGGACCTGCTCAGTTCAAACTTCCCACATTCCCGAGCATCCAGCTAAGCTGTGTTGAGAGCAGCTTGCCTGAACAGCTGGAAGTTTCGACATCCATATACATCGTAGCAGGCTGACCAAGTCGTAATCACTGGCTGGTTCAGCCCTGAGAACATAGGGAACGGCAGTGGATGATTGGAACCATAACTTTGATTTATGTACACAATTGCAACACGACTCTATCGCAATCACTCCTCTTGCCAGCCAATTCTCTAATTGGACTCTAGTCCCATGTGCCGCACGCTTCATTCATGCGAGGGGGTAGGCGGTTTCGGGAAGAGACTCGAGGTGCTTGCGGTTGTGCTCATTGGCCTAGGCATATCGTCAGCAATCAGAATCACAGTAGGCCACCTGGCTACGTCGCGGCAGACAAATGGAAAGGCTCACATATGGCAAGCCGCAGTAGGTGCACGAGGCAATCTCAGGCTTGTCGGTGTTGATGAACACGCGCGGGTGGCCAGCGGGGCCGCCGCCACCATCGCACGCGACAATGCGGCTGTGCGTCCACCTCACGGGCTCCTCGTGAATGAAGGACATGGCGGACTCGGGTTGAGGCTGGTGCACAACGTCAGTACGTCGTATATGTGACAAAGGATCGTGTCGGGCCGTAGTTTACCTGGAGGTCGAAGTTGGACTGTTCGAACCTTGGGCCCGTCATGGCCTCAGCCCTGGGCTTCTGGCTGCGGGACCAGATACCAACGCGGTTGGGCGCCTGCTGGACGTCCCTGGGGACGGCATTGTCGGCTGTCTGAGGAGTGCTGGCCTCGTTCTTCTCGGTGACAGAGACGGTCTCGGTTGTTCGGGCCGTGGCGGAAACGGAGAAGGGGCGGTAGAGGGTGCGCAGCTGGCGCGAGAGCTGGGTAGTCGCCCGCCGGGAAGCCGGGAGGAGCATTGTGTCGATTGGATGTGTGGTCGACCTAGGAGTAGAAAGATATCGTCGTCACCCTCGCGGCGGTTGCGGTCGCTCGAGTTCGTGATCTTGGAGCTTGGGAGGTCTTCGATCAATTGGAATGGCTGCACTGTCATTGGCTCGGAATAACTGCGGCCAGTGCCTGTTCACATTGGCTCGTGCGTTAGGGCGGTCTGGTCGCATGCACTGAGATCTCGCGGCAGAATTATTTTGTCGGCCCAAGATCCCGCTCTAGCAGTTGCAGGTTATTGTTCATCACAACCAAGCAATTCTGTCTCGAGAGGAGAAATCGAAGGCGTCAACCACTGAACATCTGAGGCGACAAAGAACGCCCACGACTCATCACCAGAGGTACCCTGCGAAGGGGCGGACCCTGAGACGCCTGTGAGCCATTACGACTGCACACCACGAGGGCATCCCCGACATCGAACATCCTCCATCACGCCATGGCGCCCAAGGATGTGGCGCCCGAGACCCCCCCAAGCCGAGGCATCTCTTCGCGTTTGCTCACAATGAAGTTTATGCAGCGTGCTGCCGCCACATCAGAAACGCCCACGACACCCGACGAACCCTCCGTGAAATCCGGAACCACATCCTCCTCCAAGCGCCGCCGCTTCGAAAACTCACCACTTACTGGCGACTACCACTCCTTTGACGAGGCTGCGATACAAGCTGCCCTCAAAGAGCAAGAGGCCACACGACAGGCTGCGCTGAAGCTTCACAAGACGGAGCTGGCCGACACGAACTGGGTGCTCGACGGTTTCGCGAACAGCACGACCGCCGCGGCCCCCAGGGTGGTCGAGTACGTCAGCTTCTCCGAGATTGACGCCGGCGGCGAAGAAGACACGCCAAACCGCGCACAGGCTGGAAGGAAAAGGGTCGGCAATTACAAGACGCGTGAAGAGAAGGTTTGTCTCACTATTCGTTAGCAGCCCCCGGGGCCCGCCTCGCCTGTTCCGCAAATGATGCATGTACGCTAACACACCCTCGCAGCAGACGAAAGAAGACGCCTCATCGGACGAGGACAGTGATTCGAGTGACGAATCCTCAGACGACGGCCGCGACAGGCGGGCCTCCAAGACCTCGACACCACACAGGGACGACCCCCGGAGGCAGAGCAGCGTTCACCGCAGGGAGTCTGCTGGCGCGGCCAAGGCCAAGGAGTTTAGGGACAAGCGCAAGAATCAAAAGGTCAACCTCAACACCATCAGCTCAGTTTCTGGCAACGCAAGGTCGGGTCCCATCACGTCCATCTCAGGGGGCGGTGGCGGCGGCGCGGGGAGCAGGTCCGGTCAATTTAGCTGCCACTCGTGCGGCAAGACGGGGCACAAGGCCGTCGACTGTCCCAGCAGACGCAACGGTGGTGATAAGCGTCGATCCTATGGACGAGGGTCCTGATGCTGGGGTACCCCTTGCGTGCAGCGCCGTGTCGGCATCAATAGATGAGCTCTGGAATTATATGGGTATGCAACGGTGAACATGCGACCAACCCGTTCACGTCAGCGTTTGGGATCAGGAAGGTCCAGCAGCCCGGCGTGGGTCGATTTCATGAAATATATTGGTGTGCTGCGAGTCATCGCGGCAAATGAAGTAGCCTTGCCACATGTCGATGCTACCTACGGGTTTCGAGTCAGGCCTCATGCACGTAACATAGTCGCAGCTCCTGGCAGCCCCAGAAGTACAGACACTTCGGTAGACAAACAAAGATACCCCCTGTAACCACAAGAATACTCGTGCTGTTTTCTGATGTGACGCCAGGATCCTTCCCGGCATGACTCCCAAACGGGAACGCAATTAATATGAAGACGCCATTTCGAGCATCAACACCTTGTCAAGATGTTACAGAAACAAAATGGAAGGTCCGAGAGAAGCTTGCATCATGTTTGGAATACTCACATGGCTGGCGCAGTACTTCTACAACTGCCTGCCAGTAACACTGTTGCTTGGCTGGCACAGTCTCTATCTACATCAAACTGTCTTACCCCAACCATGATTCGACCAAGCCGGCCGAATGTTCATTTCAGAGAACCATGACCCTGCAACTGCAGCACTTGAAAAAAAAACTCCGGAATGTTTCGACACATGTATGCAGACAGAGACTGGTCCAAGGTGGGGGGTGAAAACGGGTTATTTGAGTTATGTCAGTCCATTGGGTGAGGATGCAGCCATGTCGAGCAGCAAGACACGAGCTTTGCCACTTTACCTCAAGGTACCTGCTTGTGCCTCGTCACCCGAAACCCCAGGTCACAAGCGGTCGATCAAAGACGGGACGGCCCAGTGGCCAACGCCCCCAACGCAGGTAACCCTGCCAAGAAAACGGCCGGTTGTGCCGGGCCAACTGGCATGAATGACGAACGACTTGTGGTGCTGCGCAGCAAACCACTCGGGGGGCGCCCACGTCGCAACGGCTTCAGGTCTGTTGCTTGTCGAAGGACCTGTCGAAAGGGAGCATTATCCAGGATCATCCCGAGTACCAGGGATGATTTCGCCTGTGGAAGCGAACCTTGACCACAGAAAGCCCCCGCGTCGATTGACGCGACTCATGCTCGCGGCGCTCCTCGTGCAGAGGAGAGAAGACTGTTGAACCCATGCAGCCAACCACTCTTGTTACTCCTGCTGCTGTTGCACTAGGGAGTCATACCTGTGGCAATTACAGAGCTCGTCGTCGTGCGACTGCCTCGGTATGCCGAGGTACGCAGCTGTACACGCGTAGTGACAGGCAGATCACTTACATCAATGGATAATACTCCGGATCCGAAAAAACGGTCGGGTAGATAGAATTTGAGATTCAAAGTGGACTCGGAAAAGGGAGGGGGGGCGGGCTCAATATGCTCCGTGGTCCGGCGACGATCTAAAGCCGCTGGCTTCGGGGCTGGGGCTTCCTTCGGCATGAAGAGACGATGCGACTGTATGGAGTGGCTTGGGGCTTGGGAGCAGCTAGTACGACCACCTTGACGCACGGGTCGCAGGGCCGTGGCATCATGTGCGCGGCCTCTGCCATGCCGTGCATGTTGCATCGCACGTCACCCCGATGTACAGTACCGAGGACAAGGTGAACTGGGCCGCCGGCAGATGAAGTGCGCCGGCAGAGTCTTCCAGCCCGGCAAGCGGGAGGGGGCGCTGAGAACGAAGGTGCAGCGTCGATCCAGTCGCTTGGCTTATTATGAGCACCGGGTGTCCCTACATGAGTTACCCAGTGGGGATGTACAGCACGTGTTCCACACTCCTCGTTGTGACAACATATGTCTGTGTGCAGGTGGCGGAGCGGAAGGATGCATATAAGAGGAGGTTACCGATACCTCGCCGAGCCTTCATGTCGAACCGCCCTGAGCGGCTGACGAGTAGCGAGCGGAGCAGGGCGAACCGCAGTCAAGACAAGGCAAAGGCATGGCAGCCAACCAAAACTTCCCACGGCATACGTAGCTATACTTTGGTAACCTCTGAGCCGCATGTCACCAGCAGCCCACTGCCCGTCATGCATCAGACTAGACGACGCTATATCGAAGGCTCTAGGTCACTCAGGTAGAACAAGCAATACATAATGTCGGGGTACGAACCGGGAGCGTCGGCCGCAATTGAGCTGAACATGTTACGGTTACATCAAGTCAGACTGTCATTAGAGATTGGCAAGGATTGTTCGAGTGATGACCGCAGGCTTCGTCTTCTGTTCCGAAATCCGTTTGGCCTCTGCTTCAAGGCCTCCAATCGATTCCTATCAATCCCGTCCTAGGGCCGGCAACTCTCCGCAGAAAAGGTTATCCCTGGCGACTGGAGATGGGCTAAGATTACGTGCGGACGTGGTGCAGCATCGTCATCTCCTCGACCGGCCATACAAAGACCACGGGGGGGTACTTTTGGTAGCTTTCGTTCTCCCCATCATGATACGAGCCGGGGACCTGGTCCCATTGCCCCAGACAAAGCTCCAAGCGAGCCGAGATGTGCACTTTGAAGCTGGGCGATCACGGCAAGCGGATTGGATCAGTCGAGGCGGAAAATGTACCGAGCTTCTAGAAGATGACTCGAGTAAGCAGCATGGCCCACTGCAGGCGGGGAAGCCCCAACATACCTCAGGCGGAAAGTTGCCTCTTTTGCGGAGAGAAAGCGACCTGGAGCAAGATCGGGTTCTCATGTTTCCACGCCGCCGCCTTCCTACTTTGTGATATTACCCCGAGCCGGCTTGCTTGGTGTCCTGATCGTCGAGTGCTTGCCTTCGGCTCCGATTGCCAGGAGCGCACCCAGTGGAAAGCGGACAATCTGGCTCGTGACCTCTATCTTCCGTTCCAGAAATCCTAGAACGTGGCAAAGGGGAGGGGAGGCGTTCTTCAGGGCCCGCTAAAGCATGACGACGATTGCTAGCAGGCATGCGTACCCGAGGGAGACTGGACTAATTGGTAGCGTCTGCACCAACACAGTCAAAGGTCATCTGCATCGCTTGCGCCTGTATCGACAAGGTGACATGCGGCATCCAAGACCGGTTCCTGGGATATCAAGGCGTGACGATGGCGGCATGCGACGCAAGACCACCCCATCCTCCGACGCCGATTTGTGCTGATACGCTCGCTAAATGATCGCATCTCGGTCTGAGAGATGCCCAGCTATCTCACATGACTGCCGAGGGATGGTCAAGGATAGGTTTTGAGCTTCTTTTGGGTTGGGAGACCGACTTGGCTCAACAGCCTGGCTGCTTGGTCAGTGGCCAAGGCTCCCACATGGCTTGCTCATTGGTGGCTTCGGGCTTATGCCTCAGCCTCGGGCTCCTCAAGCCGAATCAGACATTGCCAAGATGTTTCCTCCAATTTGTTTCATGCAGTCGCCTTGCATGGGTCATGACGGCAGCCTCCACATCGACAGGGTTGCGAAACATTTCGAAAGGTATGGCAGATGAAGCTGATGCGGACAACAGACGAGAGGATGCGCCTGCTGGGGCTCTTGGGATTATGTGGGTGGGGGATGTCGACGAATGCCTGGCGACCACGGGAAAGAATTGTCATGTGGTAGCCTTATTTGCAATGCTTTTGCGCGGTAGCGTTTCCTGGATGCGAAACTGTAATAACAGTCCCGACCGTGGCGGCCTATGGAGTCGAAGCAGAATCCAAGGAAGGCAGACTGCTCTCGGTTCGAATGAATCGACACCTTGAATGCAGCTGACCCCCACGATGGCCACCAAGGGTCTGAATGTTCTCAGATGCGACCAGATATTAATCTGTCTGTCGTGGATACGGTGAGTGGATTCGTATAGTACCATATCTTCGGGACAGGACGATGCGCGTTGGTGCCAATTTTGTTGTTTTTGGTAATCTAACCAGAGGAGTTGGGCGGCGGACGCTGTGTACATAATGCATCGGCAGACTCATGTGGCCTGTACATGATGCGATGACTGTTTGTTCGAACCGGGCGGACCCCATCTCGAGCTGCAGTAGATGGTTCAGTGGACCCATTGAGCAACCATGCCGTTGGTAGGGTCGGCGGGACTGAAGATATTGTTGATGAGTGGACAGCATGGTCGGCCAACACAGAAGGGTGGTGGAAGCTCGTTCGATTTGGCTATGGTAGCCCCGCTGGGATACGCCTCTCCCCTCTTTGGCCTACCAACCAGTCGCCTGCTTGGCCCTGCTTGGCCAGCGCTGTCTGGAATTGAGTCAAGCCAGACGGTCACGTTGCTGGCCACAAAAGCTTTCTCTCACCTGGCTATACCGCCGTCTTGGCGCGTCAATGGGGCCAGAGAAGCACAATCACAAAACTCGATGGCGGTGGTCAAGGCGTGTGACAGTCGGATGGCCTATCCATGCCTGCGTAGGCCCGGTCGTACCGCAAGTGGCCTTCAAGGTGGCGGGTAAGTCACCTCCGCAACCCGGGCCGTCGATATATCCTTGATCCCTCCCTCTTCCTACCTTGCTGCTTGCCTCTGGTTTTGTGCGTTCAGCTGCGGCCTGCAACGGCAGGGACCCGGCTGACGAAAGAGCACCATGAAATCCCCCCTGCAAATGAGTTTCAGATCAATTTACCTGTCCTGGGAGGATATCCACCACTCGCCAAGAGAGCAAGATTGTTAAATCGAGGCTGACGGTGCTTGATGGGCACTTTCTGTCTGATGCTACGCCAGAATGCCTGTCTGGTAATGTGTAACATGATGCTGCGGGTCTTCCCGCAAAGGCCTGTGTGCCGTGCCCTCCCTTGCCGTTCCGAGTGGGTAATTTCTTTTGCTTCTTGCTTCGCGAACAAAGACTGTTTTCTGCGCTTTCATGTGGGCATATGGGTTCCCGAGCACTAACGTGGTTGTATCCGAGAGAGCGCACCATACAAGCATCTCTTGTGTGAGTGGTCTTTGGGGAGTTGCAATTCGAAGCTCTCGTGACGAAGGAAGATAGTGATAGAAGGCACAAACGGTCGAATAAGGCGGCAACAACTCCCGGGAACAGGCCTGAAACAGGGAAGAGCTAAGGAGCTACTTCCTCCCGAAAAGTAAACCTTGAAATGTTATCCTCACCGGATGTACCGAGGTGAGGTACCTTAGGTAGGTACTTTAACAAGCCGACATCGCGTTTGCTCCTTCGTCAGACAAGGTAGGTGGTGCCTTGTCCTGCTCAGCGTTCTTCCCCCTCCAGGCGCACACCGCGGTCAGGTACTTATCTGGGCTAGGGCAGGTAAAAGACGAATGTGGTAGGTATATGACCACCCGCATCTTGCTCTGAATCATTCGCATCACGTCGACACATGCCAGCGTGTGTTGCCCCTCGCCGTCTCTTTCACTTCGTCAGAGTTGGGGCGTATGAAGTATTCTTATCTGCCTTGACTCAATCGCGTTTCGACCCTCCCCTAGCAGTCCTGAGTCGCGTCGGTGGCCCGCCTCGGCTCTCCCACCCACCAAGGTCGCCGCACCAAGTCCGGCATCCGAGTCACGCGTATAACGCCAGCCACACCGAAAGCGGTCTTTGCAATGCACCAGTCTAGCCTACACATTATGTCTGCCACGCTTTGCCATCCGGTGTAAGGTACCTTAGACAGGGACGCAGACCCCGTCAAACTTGTTGAGAGAGACAAGGGCTGGCCAAAAGGCATCGCAGCGCACACCGCTTCCTCAGACGATCGTTGCTGAGTACATATACCTACTTACCTGTGTCGCACCTACCAAACAGCCGCTGTTCGACCCTGCAGCATATGCTCCGGCACCGTGCCTTGCTTCCCCGGGGCACACCAAGTGACCCAGTATCCAATCCGTCAAGTCGTCGCCGAAGGCGCAGCGACTATTGGGAAGAAGAGAAGGAACTAGAGGGAAGAGACTCTCCGCCCAGTCGACCACCGAAGAGCGACCCTGATCTGTTCGACACGCTGCAACACAGAGAGTCTCCGTTTCTGGATCCCAACCCGTCGTTGATCTGAGTAGTACGGCGCCGGTGATACGGCGTCCCCACATGCTACTAACCCACGCCTGCAACCCAGTTTATGTGGCACAAGCGTCAGCACCCGCATCTTGCCAGCGCGCGCGACCCCCTCGGCCCCACCCCCCCCCCCCCTTCCACTCCCCAGGCCCCCAAGGTCCCCCAGCTCGTCGATGCTAAGCCAGCAAAAGGGTTCCAGGTCACCAATGCAGGTAGCCCAGGCCTCCACCAGACAGGGGCAGATCGGTACATCCTTTACTCATTACCAGGACCGCCTGCTGTTGTCATTCGGCTGGGCACGTTCTCTACCTAGGTATGGTGGTGGAGCAAGTCCAGGGTGTCCAGGGAAGGGAAGACACGCAGAGGTACTCCCAGGTACCGCAACCACCTTGCGTTCAAGGTACGGA